TAAATTTTCATTTTGCTGAAAATACTCATTGCTACAGAGCGATCATTAGTACACACTGGAGTAGGAGATGTGGCAGAGTTATTTACGCATGTGTTAGTAAAACAGATTGCGTAAGATATGATTTATGATGATATGGTCCAGTTATCATTTTTCATTGACTGTATAAAGACTTTCCAAAATTCGGTAATCGAATGAAGTTTTCTTACTCCACTGGACGTTATCATTCACGAAATCCTATTTATTGAGCGACTTAATCGCTGATCGACATAAAATGGCACTGCCGTATTCATTGTAACATGATTTTTGAGCGAAAATTGCGAATTTGTATCCTTAATCAAATCGAATAAGTTTTTTAGTAGCATCGAAACAATAATTAATAATTGTTACAAAAAATATTGATACCCGTTCAGAAAATATGCAATATGCCTTGAAAGCGATCACAAAGTTTACTTTGGTCTTGTCGCATAATCCGTCAAGTTTCACTGAACACCTATCAGTAGCGCAAATTAACCATAAAATAATTTTGGTTGAAATTAATCACTTACAGACCAAGATATAGACGTACGCTACTTGGAGACAGAATTGTTATTGTGGACTTTAACTGATTTTCCTCACCTACTGAAGTGTTCGTTGAAGATTATTTATTGCATAGTCATCAATCAGTCTAACTGTGTGCACGTTACTAATGTGTGCATGTAGCAAACGGTTCACATTACCGCTTCACAGTTAGAGCTACTAAATCTTTGACGCGTACCTTACGATTTATAAAACTTCAGAAAGGTGCCAGCGAAGACAAGCTAATCTTTAATCTAATTATCAATATACGTGGAATGCATGACATTCATAAGCTTAATGCTTCTCGGTCGAGCAGATTAGGGTTAACATAGACGTTGTTCTCGGGAAATCGGTCGTTTACACTTCGCTCAAAAATAACGACTGCTGCGTTCTGAACGGGACATCGTGGCGCGCAAATCTTTTCCTGCTGCTTTTATGTAGAGGCATGAAATCGTTCCGTGGTGCATAGCGGAACATTCGACAGAGCAGGGCTTAGTCGCCACAGAACGAAGGAGAGCTGTGGATGTTGCGGGTTCAGCTCAAGTACAAATCCAGACCAATGACTCCATCCCCATCGCATACTATATGGCAACAGTATACAACTTAAAACTAGAACTGATTCTGTTCGACTGATATATTATCAGTACTGACATACTCACAAAGGTTTTGTCTCTGACACCTGGAACAGTTTTTCTAACCTTTGGCATAAAACATTTTCACCAAGCTCGGGAAATATGCTATGTTAATCGGCAATACAGCGAATTTAACGTTCAGTATTTGCCCTCCACTGTAATCTTGATAATCACCGCAATCTGACTGCTATTGACTTCCAGCTCAAAATGTCGATCACATCGTATGTGAATTAGAGAAACCGTCAACGAATAGCTCGCATTTTTCTGCCATAGCAGGACCGCCCATATGGAAGGAACTTTATATCATGTACTACCAGATATTCTGGATCTCAGATATGTATTGAACCAAATCAGTATTAACGATTATCCATGTCAGTTTTCAATTGACATAAAGGTATCGTAAGCGATCAATGAAAACAACATGAAGCATTTTAGTCCTCAGTGAAATGCCACCGATTTATCATATTAAACTCTGTCATATATGCTCAAAACTTGACTGGCAGTTTCATGCCGACCGTCTTTCATATCCTACGTCTATAGGATAGTGATAGACATTAGTGAAATGAAATTTTGTACTACCAGTAAATCGATTACAATCTCATACCACCGAACTTGCTGTGGTAACACGTGAAACAAGTCAGCCTTAGTACAGGCGTCCTGGTGCATGCCCACAAGGTCTGAACATACCGTTCGGTTGTTTCTAAGTCCAAAAGGTGAAGCCGTTAAACAGGTCGTCATTGAAGCCGGCCATATGAGCATGTCCTTTCTGTACTCCGTAAAATTATAGTGTCTGTAGCTTATGAATGCAACACGGCATAACACTGAGGGGTGTAACAGCAACCTGCTCAAGGGACCGATCGAAATTCCTTAATCCTTAAGTGGGCCTGAAATGCCGACCTGGTTATTTCACAGCTTTACTAATTGCCTAGGATCGCCATCGTTGGTTTACACTGACTTACCTCATTTTACTCGTGTAAAATTCCTCGATGAAAACAATTCGGTGTTCTACATGTCTGATGAACAGATTTTGACAAAATTCCCACAGTCATTGTCGAACATGTGTGAGAATCATGCTTGAAACACGAAGCAACAGCGAATTCTGACTTACCTGACACAAGCTGCAGCAAAAGTCCGAAAATCGGGAACAGTGCAACGGATGAGATGACCATGACGATGCGACAAAGCGGTTTCACCAGATACAACAGAACGTTCCACTAGTTGCCGAGATTTCGAATGTCAAGAAGCCGAACTGCTGTTGTCATTTGATAGCTAAAAAAATAATCTCCAACCATGTAACTGACAGTGACGACGTGTGGACACTCGCTGCGGCCGTCCATTGCATTGATTACACGGGCAACACAACGGCAAACAACGGTGAGGGGGAGGGGGTCAAAAGAGGTAACTTGCGTAATTGGCGGTCGATATTATTCTAAGTTATTCAAAACCAAAAGCCACTGTTGCAAGATCGAGTCTCTTAAAGCACAGGGAAAAAATTTCGAAATCCTCCCTGATGATATCGCTCTGTTAAGAGCCCTGTTAAGAGACAGCTGCCGAATGATGAGGGCGAATGGTAAAGACAGTAGTGCCTCTTGGTACCGTGCGAACGGCGCACATCTCATAACACTGTGGAACAACGACGAGCGAAACAAGATATTGCGTGAAGCGGTTGCATGAGGTTGGTTGCTGAGTGTCGTCATCGAAACGGACAAGATGAACATTTCTGGTCGGTTCTCGCCTGGCCTGACCTCTCGGCCGGCTGCCAAGCAAATTTCCCTCTCCCGTGTGTCGTCACCCTCCTGGTACGATGAGGTCGCGTGTCGCTGGGTGCCACACCGTAGCTGTGCAACGACGTTTGGAATTGTTTGTACGCCTTTGCATTAGTGCAAGTTGGCGCGGCGGCTACGAAGGCCGTTTTGTTGTTTACACGAGGTACCGATTCGCCGGATACTTTTCTGTACCTGAACTTTGCACCCATCAAATACCGCTTTAAAACTCGCCATTTCCTTAGTGTAGTTAGACGTGGCGTTGAACAGAGGTGCTATTCGATGACCAATCAGCGAAACCGAAGGAAAACATCTACTCTGCACAAGCTAGTATCACTAGTCACCGCAGTCAGTGACAAGACAACGGCCGGTCATATCTACAGTGTCCCCCCGTCAACGCTCTGTCTACAAACGACGTTCGCGATCGACTTTCCAAACCTTGCTGGCGACATTGCGCAACTGTCAACACCGATCTGGTCTTGGACGTGTTCTGGCCAAAAAGCCAACCAACGATCGCTGCTCGGCCGATTTGTTGACATTCTTTGCAAGATGTCAGAAACACGACAAAATCAACGATCGTTGCTTAGTTAACCGTTGCTACAAAACGTCTGTTATTCCTTATTGCAATTCTTCCAACCTCCGTGTCAGAGGACGGAGGGCAAACAGTGTAGTGGGTTGGTTAACGAGATAAGTATAACCAAGGAGGACAAAACTCTTTTTACCTAATGAATGAGTTCCATTTTGGACAAGGACACTGATGGGATCATTCGAGGCCAAGTCTGTAGCAATTCGCAAGAAAGGAACAGTTGTTCGATTGTGTGCCGTCTACCGTCTGAACGATGGATGAAACTATTGGGCGAATGAGGGAAGGTCCCGTTGACTCCTGATGGATCATGACTACGGACGGAAAGAAAACAGCAGTCTTCGCGCCACCTGGATGGTCAACACATTAAAATAAGACGTAGCGATGAGAATTTGTCGAAACTTGTGTGTTCATGACGTTGGTAGTGGATAATATAGCTACTGTCAATATTTGTATTTACATATATTTGCATTATTCCTCGACAAAGAAAGAAGATAGGAGCAGCAACAACGGGATGTCCAGCAATGGAGAATGACTGTTATCCTCATTACTACAAGTTCAGTTTTTGCTACCTGACACATCTAGCCAATTAAAGCGGAGTCAAGACGTCCAATGCGTAAGGATTTTGAATGATATTTCATTTTTTAA